AAAAAAACTACAACAAGCATCTAGGAATTTGTTTGAAAAGTTTACAACCTCTCTTGAAGTAGTTGGGTTTAAGCAATCAAAAGCAAATTATTCCTTATTCATATTGTCCATTGGTGATAGTTTTGTTGCAATATTGATTTATGTTGATAATATCGTAATCATGAGCAATGATGGAGCAAGAATTGCAACCTTAAAGCATTATCTTCATTTTGCATTTTCTATAAAGGATTTGGGTCCCTTAAAATATTTTCTTGGAATTGAGGTAGTTAGAACAACAAAAGGGATCGTTCTAAGTCAACGAAAGTATGCTCTCGACATACTCACGGAATTAGGCATGCTTAGGGCAAAGCTAAGCTCCTTCCCCATGGAGCAGCATCATCGTCTTGGGCTTGCATCTGGTTCACCTATACCAAATTCTTCACAATATAGGAGGCTTGTCAGTCATCTATTTTATTTGACAATAACACGACTAGATATATGTTATTTTGTTGGAATCTGTGCACAATTCATAGAGGAACCCAAACAGGAACATTTTGATGTAGCAATGAAAGTGTTTTGTTATGTTTAGACCTCACTGAGACAAGGGATATTGCTCTACTCTTCCAATCCCTACATTTTATTACTTATTGTGATGCAAATTGGGTCGGGTGCCCACAAACACAACGATCAACAATAGGGTACTATATTTGTCTCAAACACTCCTCTATTTCATGGAGGTTAAAAAAACAATCAATTGTCTCTTATTCTTCAGTTGAAGCTAAATGAGGGCCATCGATCGCATCAACTATCAGTGAGCTCACTTGATTAATGTCCTTACTTTCTGATCTTAGGATATATCACTTGAAGCCAATCACATTGTTTTGTGATAACCAAGCTACCTTACACATTGCCAATAATCTTGTGTTTCATAAGCACACAAAACATATTGAGATAGATTGCTATTTTGTTCATGAACGCATTCAAAGGAAGGAGTTGCTCATGGCTCATGTGCCTTCTCATTATCAACTAGTAGAATTGTTTGCAAAGGCATTAGGCAAGGAATGACTTCATTTCCTATTATGCAAGTTGGGCATTAAAGACCTTCATGCTCCAACTTGAGGGGGAGTATAGGCAAATATCAAGGAGATGAATAAGGAAATCAATCAATCAACGTTAATCTCTACATATTTGTTGTTTTGCTGTTCATACCAACAAATGCATTCCTTGTATAGAATCACTAATTTAGACTTGATTATAGCTGACAATTTGTATATATGTATATTGCAATCACTAATGTATGCGCATATCACTACCATTCATAGTTTGATTTTATCATAAGCTCCCCTTTCTCAAACTTCATTTGCCAAATTTGAGGGGATTTATTGCTCTTCTTCCATTAATTTAAATGGTTTCTTTTTTTTTTTTCTTATTGATTTCTAGAAAACAAGGGTTTTGCTTCATTTTCATTGATTGGTTTGATTATGACTTAGTCGATTTAATTTAGAATAAGTGAGATTAGAAATAAAATAAAAAAAAAAAAAACCTTTTTTTTTTGCTCTTTTCCTGGTTGGTGTCGACAAATTATTTCACTATAATGCTAATGCTATAATAGCTCATCCTTGATACCCTTATTACATTCATTCTATTAAAATCTATTGAGATTCACCACTTACATTAGGCTAACATGTGTTTTATATGCACATTCTCTAATTCTTTGAAGGAAAAGGCATTCAAGCTATTTCTTTGAGGATGTCCTTGAAACCATTACATTTTTTTCTTTCATAAACCATTTTACAATTACAATTCAAAGTACAGTCCATGCTCCTAATATGTATATTAATAATTTTTGTTTAGTATTTAATATATAGCTTTGTCAATTGGAAATATTACTTGATGTTCCAAAACATTTTTATGGTCATAGCCCTCCAATAATTGAGTTATACCCATTAACCTCTGAGCATTTCTTTATAAATTATCCTACAAAAATATGGATAAAGAAATCCAACCATAGTATTTTTTGCAAATGCTGCATTAAGATAGCTACTTGATGCATTTCAACATAGCATTTACTTCTATTTACCATAGTTGATCTAGTGTTTTTTTTTTTTTTTTTTATCTTATCATATCTAAGCTTCTTAAATGAATGCTACATAGTTTTTGGCTAATGATTGTTTTATAGAGATAATTGTAATATAACTCTTTGGCCTTCAGGGAAGTTATAAAAAAAAAAAAAAAAGGAAAAAAGAAAGCTTTTTGAACAGAAAATTTGTTCACTGACATCCTTTTTTGTGATGTCCTGTTATTTACCCTGGACATTCCTTCATTCTTTGGTTAGGTTTTTAGGGGAGACTAAAAACAAAGTGCTTATTGGGAAGAGGATGCATTTTGGTGGATAAAGCTTGTGTTTTATTAGGGCAAGAGGAGGAAACTTAGCAACATTGGTTCTTTGCTTGCCCTTTTACATGTCCGGTATGTTGTGCTATGCTAAGTAAAAATTATTGGTCAATCTATATAAGATTAGGAGAATGGAGATAGGTGAAGAGGATAAAATCAAGTAACTAGGAAGCTCAAGTCTTTATTGGCTGCTGCTATATACTGTATTTGGAATGAAAGAAACATGAGAATATTTTTTTTGCCGATAAAAAAAAATAAAAGAGAATTTTTAGGAGAGAGCAACCTGTTGTTGAGTTTATTGTATAGTGGTTATATCACCTTGTAGAAGTTAGAATTAATTGATGAATTGCACTTGGGTTAATTTTTATATTAACTTTGAAAAATTTATTTGTAATTATTAACTTTAAAATAATTTAACTCTTAAGAAACTAAAACTCTATAAATTTAAAAAAGTGTTTTTTTTAAATGTCTTTTTTAATCATTTCAATATTATATTAGATTAAAAGAGTTTTTATAAAAAAATTTATCAAACAATTTTAGATTCTAAGGGTACTTGTATGAAAAATGTTACCAAACATTTTTAATTTTTAACAAACAGAATTTCTACAACATATTCTCATATAAAGGACTTCTATCAAAAGTTTTAGCCACACCAAACATGAATGAATTCATTGTAAATAAGAAAACATGTATAAGATGATTGTAACTATTTGGTCGATCTCAGTAATTCATGAAATGCTTACTCTGCTCTCTAGCGTGTAAGCAAAATGTCAGATGCTATAGGCCTTTAGGTCTTGCTCCTGATTGTTTTTCTTCTCCTTTGTGAATTTTTGTTAAACAGAATCTGGTATTTCCTTATCTGCTTGATCAGAAAGATCAATTCTAGTCCACTTTCTGCACAATGTGATCAACAGCAGGGTGCCTGATTGGGAAGAGAGGCCACAGATTAAGCCTATCCAGAGCCCCTGAACACGAGGAAAATGGTGTAACAAAGAGAAATCAGAATGGAGTCAAGACTGATGCCTCAAAGACTGAAAATAATAATAATAATAAATAATAAATAAAAACTGCCTCCTCTCACCTTAACATATAGCTTCAACTTAAATCCAAGAACAGCTGCAATAGGCATGCCGATTAAAAAGAAAGTTCCCAAGTTAGCGAACACAGCCAAATGCTGCCACCCGCATCCCCTGGCCACCCCTGCAACATCATAAAAATTACTTGTACCAGGCCAATGTATGCCAATTAAGTCTAAGTTTAGTGCTTAAGGGATATCGAATAGTACGAAAAAAAGACAAAGAAACATTAATATGCAACACAATCTGAAATCTTTGTGCGTTAGAACCTGATAGGACACCCTGTATAGAATCAAGTGCAATTGAGATAGCAAGGAAGGGTGTCAAGGAGGCAAACTTTTCAATTATTGAAGAACTGTCACTGAAGAAACTGGCCCAAATGTTATGGCCAAAGGCTAAAGTGATGATAAATGCAAGTGCAAGAAGGACAGAGAGCTTGAGAGTCACAGCCATGGCATTCTTAGCCCTTTCCGGATTTCCAGCACCCAACTCATTTGAAACCCTTGTGCTGTCATAGTAAATTTCATTCTCTCACCATTCGAAATAGGGAGAAAGGAGAGAACTTAAGAGATTAATGTACTCTAGCACTAACCTTGCTGCTGCACTAAGACCATATGTGATCATGTAAGCAATGGCTTCCGTGTTCACGCTAGAAAACCCCAAAAGAGACAAAAATCTGCAAGGTCAAGCTTGACAAACAACCAAAACAGGTTTAGGACAATTTAAAAATGATCTCAAGGCTTACCACATTGCAGTCAGTGACGTTGTTATTTGTGAATTAGGCATAATTCCTGCTAGGAACACAAGAATCTCAAAAGCCCAGCACTCTAAACTGCCAAAGAAACATGAAAAATGAACACAAGAGTACGAGGTTAATTACGTGACTTCAAATTATACTTTCTTACTTACAGTGGCCTTGTTTTATTATATAGTGAAAAGTCTTAAAGCTCACCAAACCATTGCTGCAGAGGGCAGGGCTAGTCTCAGGTCTGTAAGGATGAAACAGAATGACTCAAATGAGAATCCTTCCCATGTGTGCTTGAATTTCTTCGAAGACATGACATAAATTGCTAACACAAGACATGATATCCACAACGAGATTGAAGC